TTTGTAACAGTTCTTTTTAGACTAAACCATAGTTCTTTTTCTTAACAGATTGGTGCTCTTGGTATAGAAGTAGAAAAACTCCAAAGAATAAATGAAGAGGTTGAGGAAGAAAACCAAAATCTGAAGGTGAGAAAGGAATGGAAATAATGAATACATGTATACAGTAAAACACAAGTTATATTTTATTTAATCCGACATGCATTAGAAGAGAAATTTTCAGTTTAAAAAAAGGTAAAATGGGAATGACCATCAAACTGAAATTCATAGCGAAACAGATTGCACAGATGTTTAATTAAACAGTTTACACTGTTGAAAAAAAAGTTGTACACGCTGTGAAATAGAAAGATAAATTCACTAAAATATTATATATATATATTTAATACCCAAAACTTTTCATTTGTTTAATAACAAAATTAAAATTCTGATGTCCATATAGGAGAGGTTGATGACAGTACAGGAAACATTAGACTACAGAGAATGTCAGGTCCAGGAGTTAGAGGAGGCCATAGCTGATCTACAGAAACAGAAACAAGACCTCCAGATACAAATTCAGGTACGTGTGTAGATAGACTACAGAGAATGTTAGGTCCAGGAGTTAGAGGAGGCCATAGCTGATCTACAGAAACAGAAACAAGACCTCCAGATACAAATCCAGGTACGTGTGTAGATAGACTACAGAGAATGTCAGGTCCAGGAGTTAGAGGAGGCCATAGCTGATCTACAGAAACAGAAACAAGACCTCCAGATACAAATTCAGGTACGTGTGTAGATAGACTACAGAGAATGTCAGGTCCAGGAGTTAGAGGAGGCCATAGCTGATCTACAGAAACAGAAACAAGACCTCCAGATACAAATCCAGGTACACATGTACTTCAGAATCCATCCAGATACAAGTGTACTGTGTTTTCTTAAGTTTCCATCGTTAATCAAAAACATCAAATTTCAATAACATTGAAAAAGGAAAGTTTACAAATTATGGAATAAGATACAATTGCTGTCCATGAATTTACATACAGTATCAATCGTATTGTTGGGTTTTTGGTTACAGCCTTTAAGTTTGATCTCCACAAAAATTAATGAAACTGCAGTACAAGTACATGTACAGTATATCTGATAAAAAAAGATGATTTTGTTTCCGTATATCTTCTTGAATAATTGTTATGTACGTATGTGCACTTTCTTTTAAAGGAAAATCTCAATCAATCTGACATCAATTTGAAAGACAAGAATAAATTGTTTCATGAGCTCGAAACAGCAAGACATGAACTGATTTCGCTGAAAGAAAATATGGAGAAGAGGGAGGATGAACAAAGAGCTCTTACTACAGAAATTCAACACCTGGAGAAGATAAACGCAGAGAACCAGGTACATGTAACTGCCTAATTTTCTTAATCATAAAAAAAACAAATTCTTACAACAGTGGTGATTCCAGAGTGTGGGTAATAAACATTTAAACAGAGATTCCATTTAAAACAATAAAATATATACACATGTACTATCATATACAGTCAAACTTTTCACCCTGAATCCAATTGCAACAGGATCAATAAAACTGAGATATTCAAAGATTCAAGATACATGTATTAAGGGTAAAGTACATAAGGAAAATGTAGTTTGGTCTGCCAACTCACTCTGTAATTTCCTTGGTACTTGCCATATTGATGTTTGAGATAACAAGATTCAACTTTATTCTTTCCAGATTTATATCGGTATGTCTTTTTTTTCTTTCAGGAAGCATTGTCAACATTCATGAAGAAAATTGAAGACAAGAACATGGAGATATCTAACATGAAGGATGCATTACATACACAGATGCAGAAGGGAGAGGAGCTGCAAGGTTATCTGGATGAAAAAGAGGGCAGGATCTGTGAGCTGGAGACAAGGAATAATCTACTGGTCAATGAAAGTGAAAGCAAGGCTGATAAGGTTCTTAAAGCATTTTATATTTGAAAAATATACTGTAGGAAATTTTACAATATACGTGATAAAATAGTTTTTACAAACACATTAATAGTTCCAAGATATTACACTGAAGAAAGAAAAAAATAAAAAGAAGGGGAAAAATATTTGTCATATGATATCAAAATGTGTGATATAGGTAGATTATTTTATAATTTTATCTTTGCTAGATTTCAACACTGCAAGAAGAATTGGACCAAGCTCAAGAAAACCTCCACAGTTTTGCATCAGAACATGAGAAAGTTGATAAAGAAGTGGTATGTAATGTTATAGAGTACATGTATTTGAAGTTGTTTGGCATCAAGATCTACATGTAGCACATGAACCAATTTTTTGCAAAAAATGTTTTGGTCAAAAGTTTCCTTGTAAAATGTACAGTATGTACTCAGTGTGTCAAGATGTATGTATGTTGTCAAAATCAGAAAATATATGGAAAAAAAAAAACACAGTATCATGTACATGTGTCTCGGCAGTCTTTGTAGAAAGGAATTTTGGTAAAGGTTCCATAAGTTTTAAGATTGTTTATAATTTGCAGAATAATCATGCTTCATTGAAGTTTTTAGAACAATCAATACAGTTTGATACATTTTGTTTTCATAACAACATTCCTTTGCAAAATCTCATTTAATCGTTTTGTTTGCAGGCTGCTTTGAAAAAATTACTGGAGACGAAGGAAATAGAACTGGCAGCACTACATGAAGAGAAGTCAAATATGGCCTTAGAGGTTAATATGAAACAAGTTGCATTTATCTACATACATGTATTACTAAATGTGCACAAGAGTATTCACAGAGTGAATGCAAATATTTTAAAAATAAGTAGAAAATGAAAGAAACTTAAGTATGAAAAATAAAAAAAAAAAAGGTAAACAAAGTCTTTTTCTTCAAAGGGCTCCACTAGAACTTCAGCTAATCTTATTTTGAACTCGTTATAGCATGCACCTCATGTTCACAGAAAATTGAATGTTGAATAATTTTCATGAACGACACTTTGACATATACATGTATTTGTATCTTTCATCTTATTAATGAGGAAAGATTTATCTAATAAGGACTGATTCATTTTTGACAGCTGTCATCTACAAAGGCTGAACAGTGTCGTGAAGTTATCGCTCAGCAGGCTTGTGTTATAGAGGACTACAAAGAACAACTCAATCTGTATCCTTTCTTCATTTTCATTCTGATTCTATCACATAAAGAAATACATGTTAATATGATAAGCTATCAGCTTTTGTCTGTATTATGTAGCCACTGGACCCACAATGTATTGTATAGATGCTATCAGTATTGTTATTCTTGGTACATCAGTCCTTAACAGATATAGATTGAGGAATTCAGAGATGTCAGTTCACCAGGAATCTCAGGAAATGGACAGATTAATGGTAAGGCACAAGTTTAGGATGATAAAATTTACATGTTTATCTACAGTATTTTCAGTTAAAATATTGTACATGTACATCGAAAATAGAAGATGCAGTTAATTAAATTCGGTACTTATTGTGCAACCCCCCCCCCCCCCCCCAATTTCTCATTTCAGAGACACAGTCCCTTGGCACACAGACTGATATGCAGAGAGAAAAGAATACATGACATTGACAAAGAAAACCAGTCTCCTTCTGAAAAAATTCATGTCTCCAGTTCTCAGATTAAAGGACATGGAGCAAAACAAAAACAGACTCTCTTCATCAGATTCCTTGAACGGCATGGAGAATGGAACGCTTTCTCCGATAAAAAGAAAACCCGTCCTGTCAGAAGATCTCGTACAGAATGATAGGAGTGTTCGGTTGTCGGAAGATTTAACGGACGATAGTCAGATGGACTTGGACCAGGCTTTTGTGACAGCTCACACTATGCAGGCGTATGTGTCGAAAACCCTAGAGAAGGAATCAGAAGATGTTTGATATGAGCTTGACAGAGAAGATTGTGAGAAATTTGAATGCATGTTTTATTGTGCTCGATGGGGGAAGTGTTAGGGAGATTTATTGTCCATTGCTGCATTACAAGAGATTTTAGTTCTACAGAATAGTGATTTTATGATTTGTACTTTACATGCAGTTTAACTTGACGCTATTCATTTAATAATGAACTTTGTGATTGTTTCAAGCAATGCATTTTGTTTAGTATTAGTGAAAAATATTATATTTTTAAAAAAACCCAATCAAACCACAGGGACTCACATGAATATATATATCTATTGAATTACTATATATACAAATATATCTTTACAAGGAATATGGTAGAATAAATATTAACCAAAAGATTTTGAGTGAATTATGAATAGATTTGGTTTAAGAGAGGATGAAATGCATCAGATGAAGATTAGAAGGACTTGAGTTTAAGAAAACAGTTTAAGATAATGGTAGAATTTTCAGAGGAGGCTAATGTCAGTCATTGAATTTCTCAGACTATATCAACTCAGCCCTGCCTAAGACTAGAACAGATTTACATGAACTTTTAACATTTTTACAATTCAATAGAAAACTTCATAGATGCTCAGGGGTAAATTAAACAAAAATGATGAAATATTTAGCTTTTTGTACATGACCCAACCCATGGAACAAGGAGAACTGGTGAAATAAATATCATGAAGGAAAGATGTTTTTCCTGGAATCACCTTACAATAAGAAGTTACTGTGCCAGAAAAAATTAAATATGTGAAAGTTTCATTACATAATGTATGTATGAATAAACTCAGGTGACCTATTCCTATCGGTTTTTGTCCATCGTCAGGCGATGTTTGTCGTGTGTTAACATTTGAACAATTTCACCTTCTTCTCTGCAACCATACGACAAATTTCAACCAATTTTGACCTAAAGCATATATGGGTGAAGGGGAACAAAAATTCTGAATTTCATGGTCCCTGTCCCCGTAGGGCCTGAGGGGTTGGACCAAAACCACTAAAATTAATGCGATCTTTAAAAATCTTCTTTGCTCCCGGACATCAAGCAGTCAAACTTGGCATGATTGTAATCAGCATTCAGTCCTATCAAAATTGTGAAACTTGTGGCCCCAGGGTCGGGGTTCTAGTGCTAGGGGAGGGCTATATAGATTATATAGTGAAAATGCTTTATTTCTTCGAAAATCTTCTCTGCTCCTGGGTATTAAATAAACTAAGTAAATAGTCATAATGAGCATGAATGCCTCTTCCAGAATTGTGAATTTTATGGCCCCAGGGTCACATGTTCTGGTGTTACGATGGGGCTGTTGTGATTATATACTGAAAATGAATTATTACGTTGAAAATCTTCTCTACCCCTGGGTAGTAAATAAACTAAGTACATAGTTATAATTAACATGAATGCCTCTTCCAGAATTGTGAATTTTATGGCCCCAGGTTCAGGGGTTCTGGTGTTACGGTGGGGCTGTAGTGATTATATACTGAAAATACATTAAATCTTTGAAAATCTTCTACTCTGCTCCTGGGTATTAAGCAGATGAACTACCTATATAGCTATGATGAGCAGGGACCTTTATTTCAGAATTGTGATTTTCGAGGTTCCTGGGTCAGGGGTATTTTGAGTACATATACTGAAAATCATTAATCTAATTTGAAGTTTTATGAGTGAGTGGCTCAAATCAGGTCTTTTAATCCACTGGGTTTGTCTATACCATAGACAAAACCAGGGACATTAGCAACTGGTATACCACATACAAGCACTACCTATTGCAGACTGTGACTTGAGTGCATCAACAATGCACACACCTATATATGCTCTTTATCTAAGGTGGGCCACGCACCCATCATATTCATGAAAATACAAGATTAAAAACAAAATAAGACAATTAAAATAAACTTACCATCTTCCAGTCGAAAATGTATTGCTTGCAGTCGTGTACCACTGGCAATTATACTTCAGTCTGTGTTGTTTCTTGGCTTCTATCACAGCCAAGATTGAGTACAAGTCACAGTCTGAAGTTTTATGAGTGAGTGGCTCAAATCAGTTCTTTAATCCACTGGGTTTGTCTATAGCATAGACAAAACCAGGGACATTAGCAACTGGTATACCACATACAAGCACTACCTATTGCAGACTGTGACTTGAGTGCATCAACAATGCACACACCTCTCTTGGTGGGCCAAGCACATATTTAACTGATAACAGAAGATTAAAAACAATAAGACAAGAAAATAAACTTACCATTTTGCAGTCATGTATTGCTGGCAGGCTTACTTCTATCTGTGTTGTTTCTTGGCTTCTATCACAGCCAAGATTGAGTACAAGTCACAGTCTGAAGTTTTATGAGTGAGTGGCTCAAATCAGTTCTTTAATCCACTGGGTTTGTCTATAGCATAGACAAAACCAGGGACATTAGCAACTGGTATACCACATACAAGAACTTCCTATTGCAGACCGTGACTTGAGTACATGAACAATGCACACACCTCTCCTGGTGGGCCACTCACATCTTCAACTGAAAATACAATATTACAAACAATAAGAAAATAAAATAAACTTACCATCCTCCAGCGGTGCATTGCTGGCAGGCTTACTTCTATCGGAGTTGTTTCTTGGCTTCTATCACAGCCAAGATTGAGTACAAGTCACAGTCTGAAGTTTTATGAGTGAGTGGCTCAAATCAGTTCTTTAATCCACTGGGTTTGTCTATAGCATAGACAAAACCAGGGACATTAGCAACTGGTATACCACATACAAGCACTACTTTTTGCAGACTGTGACTTGAGTGCATCAACAATGTACACCCCTCTCTTAGTGGGCCACGCACATCTTCAACTGAAAATATTACAAACAATAAGACAATAAAATAAACTTACCATCTTCCAGTCTTCTACTGTTGGCTAGTACACTTCTAATTTGTGTTGTTTCTTGGCTTCTATCACAGCCAAGATTGAGTACAAGTCACAGTCTGAAGTTTTATGAGTGAGTGGCTCAAATCAGTTCTTTAATCCACTGGGTTTGTCTATAGCATAGACAAAACCAGGGACATTAGCAACTGGTATACCACATACAAGCACTACCTATTGCAGACTGTGACTTGAGTGCATCAACAATGCACACACCTCTCTTGGTGGGCCACGCACATCATCAAATGAAAATAGAAGAGCACTAACAATCAGATAATAAAATAAACTTACCATCTTCAAGTCTTCTACTGTTGGCTAGTACACTTTAATTGGTGTTTTTTTTTTTTGGCTTCTATCACGGCCAAGATTAAGTACAAGTCATAGTCTGAAGTTTTATGAGTGAGTGGCTCAAATCAGTTCTTTAATCCACTGGGTTTGTCTATAGCATAGACAAAACCAGGGACATTAGCAACTGGTATACCACATACAAGCACTACCTATTGCAGACTGTGACTTGAGTGCATCAACAATGCTCACACCTCTCTTGGTGGGCCATGCACATATTCAACTGAAAAGAGAAGATTAAACACAATAAGACAATAAAATAAACTTACCATTCTTCCAGTCATGTATTGCTGGCAGGCTTACTTCTATCTGTGTTGTTTCTTGGCTTCTATCACAGCCAAGATTGAGTACAAGTCACAGTCTGAAGTTTTATGAGTGAGTGGCTCAAATCAGTTCTTTAATCCACTGGGTTTGTCTATAGCATAGACAAAACCAGGGACATTAGCAACTGGTATACCACATACAAGCACTACCTATTGCAGACTGTGACTTGAGTGCATCAACAATGCACACACCTCTCTTGGTGGGCCATGCTCACATATTCAACTGAAAATAGAAGATTACAAACAATAAGACAAGAAAATAAACTTACCATCATCCAGTCATGTATTGCTGGCAGGCTTACTTCTATCTGTGTTGTTTCTTGGCTTCTATCACAGCCAAGATTGAGTACAAGTCACAGTCTGAAGTTTTATGAGTGAGTGGCTCAAATCAGTTCTTTAATCCACTGGGTTTGTCTATAGCATAGACAAAACCAGGGACATTAGCAACTGGTATACCACATACAAGCACTACCTATTGCAGACTGTGACTTGAGTGCATCAACAATGCACACACCTCTCTTGGTGGGCCACGCACATCATCAACTGAAAATAGAAGATTACAAACAATAAGACAACAAAATAAACTTACCATCATCCAGTCATGTATTGCTGGCAGGCTTACTTCTATCTGTGTTGTTTCTTGGCTTCTATCACAGCCAAGATTGAGTACAAGTCACAGTCTGAAGTTTTATGAGTGAGTGGCTCAAATCAGTTCTTTAATCCACTGGGTTTGTCTATAGCATAGACAAAACCAGGGACATTAGCAACTGGTATACCACATACAAGCACTACCTATTGCAGACTGTGACTTGAGTGCATCAACAATGCTCACACCTCTCTTGGTGGGCCATGCACATATTCAACTGAAAATAAAAGATTACAAAAAATAAGACAATAAAATAAACTTACCATCTTCCAGTCATGTATTGCTGGCAGGTTACTTCAATCTGTGTTGTTTCTTGGCTTCTATCACAGCCAAGATTGAGTACAAGTCACAGTCTGAAGTTTTATGAGTGAGTGGCTCAAATCAGTTCTTTAATCCACTGGGTTTGTCTATAGCATAGACAAAACCAGGGACATTAGCAACTGGTATACCACATACAAGCACTACCTATTGCAGACTGTGACTTGAGTGCATCAACAATGCACACACTTCTCTTGGTGGGCCAAGCACATATTTAACTGATAATAGAAGATTACAAACAATAAGACAATAAAATAAACTTACCGTTCTTCCAGTTGTGTACTACTCGCAAGTATACTTCAACTGGTGTTGTTTCTTGGCTTCTATCACAGCCAAGATTGAGTACAAGTCACAGTCGAAAGTTTTATGAGTGAGTGGCTCAAATCAGTTCTTTAATCCACTGGGTTTGTCTATAGCATAGACAAAACCAGGGACATTAGCAACTGGTATACCACATACAAGCACTACCTATTGCAGACTGTGACTTGAGTGCATCAACAATGCACACACCTCTCTTGGTGGGCCATGCACATCTTCAACTGAAAATAGAAGATTACAAACAATAAGACAATAAAAAAAAACTTACGATCCTCCAGTCATGTATTGCTGGCAGGCTTACTTCTATCTGTGTTGTTTCTTGGCTTCTATCACAGCCAAGATTGAGTACAAGTCACAGTCTGAAGTTTTATGAGTGAGTGGCTCAAATCAGTTCTTTAATCCACTGGGTTTGTCTATAGCATAGACAAAACCAGGGACATTAGCAACTGGTATACCACATACAAGCACTACCTATTGCAGACTGTGACTTGAGTGCATCAACAATGCACACACCTCTCTTGGTGGGCCATGCTCATCATATTCAACTGAAAATACAAGAGCACTAACAATCAGATAATAAAATAAACTTACCATCTTCAAGTCTTCTACTGTTGGCTAGTACACTTTAATTTGTGTTGTTTTTTGTCTTCTATCACGGCCAAGATTGAGTACAAGTCACAGTCTGAAGTTTTATGAGTGAGTGGCTCAAATCAGTTCTTTTTAATCCACTGGGTTTGTCTATAGCATAGACAAAACCAGGGACATTAGCAACTGGTATACCACATACAAGCACTACCTATTGCAGACTGTGACTTGAGTGCATCAACAATGCACACACCTCTCTTGGTGGGCCATGCTCATCATATTAAACTGAAAATACAAGAGCACTACTAAGTAGCCAAAAAATAAACTTACCATCTTCATGTCCTGTACTGCTAGCAAGTAAGTCAAGTATACTTTAATTGGTGTTGTTTCTTGGCTTCTATCACAGCCAAGATTGAGTACAAGTCACAGTCTGAAGTTTTATGAGTGAGTGGCTCAAATCAGTTCTTTAATCCACTGGGTTTGTCTATAGCATAGACAAAACCAGGGACATTAGCAACTGGTATACCACATACAAGCACTACCTATTGCAGACTGTGACTTGAGTGCATCAACAATGCACACACCTCTCTTGGTGGGCCACTCTAACAATCAGACAAAAAAATAAACTTACCATCTTCCAGTCCTGTATTGCTGGCAAGTAAGCTATACTTCAATAGTGTTGTTTCTTGGCTTCTATCACAGCCAAGATTGAGTACAAGTCACAGTCTGAAGTTTTATGAGTGAGTGGCTCAAATCAGTTCTTTAATCCACTGGGTTTGTCTATAGCATAGAACAAAACCAGGGACATTAGCAACTGGTATACCACATACAAGCACTACCTATTGCAGACTGTGACTTGAGTGCATCATCAATGCACACACATCACTTGGTGGGCCATGCACATCATATTCAACTGAAAATACAAGATTACAAACAATAAGACAATAAAATAAACTTACCATCTTCAAGAAATCCTGTATTGCTGGCAGGCTTACTTTTATCTGTGTTGTTTCTAGGCTTCTATCACAGCCAAGATTGAGTACAAGTCACAGTCTGAAGTTTTATGAGTGAGTGGCTCAAATCAGTTCTTTTTAATCCACTGGGTTTGTCTATAGCAGAGACAAAACCAGGGACATTAGCAACTGGTATACCACGTACAAGCACTACCTATTGTAGACTGTGACTTGAGTGCATCAAAAATGCACACACCTCTCTTGGTGGGCCACGCACATCTTCAACTGAAAATAGAAGATTACAAACAATAAGACAAAAAATAAACTTACCATCTTCCAGTCGTGTATTGCTGGCAGGCTATACTTCAATCTGGTGTTGTTTCTTGGCTTCTATCACAGCCAAGATTGAGTACAAGTCACAGTCTGAAGTTTTATGAGTGAGTGGCTCAAATCAGTTCTTTAATCCACTGGGTTTGTCTATAGCATAGACAAAACCAGGGACATTAGCAACTGGTATACCACATACAAGCACTACCTATTGCAGACTGTGACTTGAGTGCATCAACAATGCACACACCTCTCTTGGTGGGCCAGGCACATCATATTCAACTGAAAATAGAAGATTACAAACAATAAGACAATAAAATAAACTTACCATCTTCCAGTCCTGTATTGCTGGCAGGTATACTTCTATCTGTGTTGTTTCTTGGCTTCTATCACAGCCAAGATTGAGTACAAGTCACAGTCTGAAGTTTTATGAGTGAGTGGCTCAAATCAGTTCTTTAATCCACTGGGTTTGTCTATAGCATAGACAAAACCAGGGACATTAGCAACTGGTATACCACATACAAGCACTACCTATTGCAGACTGTGACTTGAGTGCATCAACAATGCACACACCTCTCTTGGTGGGCCATGCTCATCATATTCAACTGAAAATACAAGAGCACTAACAATCAGATAATAAAATAAACTTACCATCTTCAAGTCCTGTATTGCTGGCAGGTATACTTCAAGTATCTGTGTTTGTTTCTTGGCTTCTATCACAGCCAAGATTGAGTACAAGTCACAGTCTGAAGTTTTATGAGTGAGTGGCTCAAATCAGTTCTTTTTAATCCACTGGGTTTGTCTATAGCAGAGACAAAACCAGGGACATTAGCAACTGGTATACCACGTACAAGCACTACCTATTGCAGACTGTGACTTGAGTGCATCAACAATGCACACACCTCTCTTGGTGGGCCATGCTCATCATATTCAACTGAAAATACAAGAGCACTACTAAATAGACAAAAAATAAACTTACCATCTTGACGTCCTGTACTGCTGGCTAGTAATTAAAGCACTTTAATTGGTGTTGTTTCTTGCCTTCTATAACAGCCAAGATTGAGTACAAGTCACAGTCTGAAGTTTTATGAGTGAGTGGCTCAAATCAGTTCTTTAATCCACTGGGTTTGTCTATAGCATAGACAAAACCAGGGACATTAGCAACTGGTATACCACATACAAGCACTACCTATTGCAGACTGTGACTTGAGTGCATCAACAATGCACACACCTCTCTTGGTGGGCCATGCTCATCATATTCAACTGAAAATACAAGAGAACTACTAAATAGACAAAAAATAAACTTACCATCTTCATGTCCTGTACTGCTAGCAAGTAAGTCAAGTATACTTCAATTGGTGTTGTTTCTTGGCTTCTATCACAGCCAAGATTGAGTACAAGTCACAGTCTGAAGTTTTATGAGTGAGTGGCTCAAATCAGTTCTTTAATCCACTGGGTTTGTCTATAGCATAGACAAAACCAGGGACATTAGCAACTGGTATACCACATACAAGCACTACCTATTGCAGACTGTGACTTGAGTGCATCAACAATGCACACACCTCTCTTGCTGGGCCATGCTCATCATATTCAACTGAAAATACAAGATTACTAACAATAAACAATAAAAAAATAAACTTACCATCTTCACGTCCTGTACCGCTGGCAAGTATACTTCAATTGGTGTTGTTTCTTGGCTTCTATCACAGCCAAGATTGAGTACAAGTCACAGTCTGAAGTTTTATGAGTGAGTGGCTCAAATCAGTTCTTTTTAATCCACTGGGTTTGTCTATAGCAGAGACAAAACCAGGGACATTAGCAACTGGTATACCACGTACAAGCACTCCCTATTGCAGACTGTGACTTGAGTGCATCAACAATGCACACACCTCTCTTGGTGGGCCATGCTCATCATATTCAACTGAAAATACAAGAGCACTACTAAATAGACAAAAAATAAACTTACCATCTTCATGTCCTGTACTGCTAGCAAGTAAGTCAAGTATACTTCAATTGGTGTTGTTTCTTAGCTTCTATCACAGCCAAGATTGAGTACAAGTCACAGTCTGAAGTTTTATGAGTGAGTGGCTCAAATCAGTTCTTTTTAATCCACTGGGTTTGTCTATAGCAGAGACAAAACCAGGGACATTAGCAACTGGTATACCACGTACAAGCACTCCCTATTGCAGACTGTGACTTGAGTGCATCAACAATGCACACACCTCTCTTGGTGGGCCATGCTCATCATATTCAACTGAAAATACAAGAGCACTAACAATCAGGCAATAAAATAAACTTACTATCTTCACGTCCTGTAGTGCTGTCAAGTATACTTCAATTGGTGTTGTTTCTTGGCTTCTATCACAGCCAAGATTGAGTACAAGTCACAGTCTGAAGTTTTATGAGTGAGTGGCTCAAATCAGTTCTTTTTAATCCACTGGGATTGTCTATAGCATAGACAAAACCAGGGACATTAGCAACTGGTATACCACGTACAAGCACTCCCTATTGCAGACTGTGACTTGAGTGCATCAACAATGCACACACCTCTCTTGGTGGGCCATGCTCATCATATTCAACTGAAAATACAAGAGCACTACTAAATAGACAAAAAATAAACTTACCATCTTCATGTCCTGTACTGCTAGCAAGTAAGTCAAGTATACTTCAATTGGTGTTGTTTCTTAGCTTCTATCACAGCCAAGATTGAGTACAAGTCACAGTCTGAAGTTTTATGAGTGAGTGGCTCAAATCAGTTCTTTTTAATCCACTGGGTTTGTCTATAGCAGAGACAAAACCAGGGACATTAGCAACTGGTATACCACGTACAAGCACTCCCTATTGCAGACTGTGACTTGAGTGCATCAACAATGCACACACCTCTCTTGGTGGGCCATGCTCATCATTCAACTGAAAATACAAGATTACAAACAAATAGACAAAAAATAAACTTACCATCTTCACGTCATGTAGTGCTGGCTAGTATACTTTAATTGGTGTTGTTTCTTGGCTTCTATCACAGCCAAGATTGAGTACAAGTCACAGTCTGAAGTTTTATGAGTGAGTGGCTCAAATCAGTTCTTTAATCCACTGGGTTTGTCTATAGCATAGACAAAACCAGGGACATTAGCAACTGGTATACCACATACAAGCACTACCTATTGCAGACTGTGACTTGAGTGCATCAACAATGCACACACCTCTCTTGGTGGGCCATGCACATCATTTCAACTGAAAATACAAGATTACAAAAAATAAGACAAAAAATAAACTTACCATCTTCAGTCATGTATTGCTGGCAGGCTTACTTTCAATCTGTGTTGTTTCTTGGCTTCTATCACAGCCAAGATTGAGTACAAGTCACAGTCTGAAGTTTTATGAGTGAGTGGCTCAAATCAGTTCTTTAATCCACTGGGTTTGTCTATAGCATAGACAAAACCAGGGACATTAGCAACTGGTATACCACATACAAGCACTACCTATTGCAGACTGTGACTTGAGTGCATCAACAATGCTCAAACCTCTCTTGGTGGGCCCTGCTCATCATCTTCAACTGAAAATACAAGATTGCAAACAATAAGACAATAAAATAAACTTACCATCTTCCAGTCATGTATTGCTGGCAGGTAAGTCTTACTTCTATCTGTGTTGTTTCTTGGCTTCTATCACAGCCAAGATTGAGTACAAGTCACAGTCTGAAGTTTTATGAGTGAGTGGCTCAAATCAGTTCTTTAATCCACTGGGTTTGTCTATAGCATAGACAAAACCAGGGACATTAGCAACTGGTATACCACATACAAGCACTACCTATTGCAGACTGTGACTTGAGTGCATCAACAATGCTCACACCTCTCTTGGTGGGCCATGCACATATTCAACTGAAAATAGAAGATTACAAACAATAAGACAACAAAATAAACTTACCATCATCCAGTCATGTATTGCTGGCAGGCTTACTTCTATCTGTGTTGTTTCTTGGCTTCTATCACAGCCAAGATTGAGTACAAGTCACAGTCGAAAGTTTTATGAGTGAGTGGCTCAAATCAGTTCTTTAATCCACTGGGTTTGTCTATAGCATAGACAAAACCAGGGACATTAGCAACTGGTATACCACATACAAGCACTACCTATTGCAGACTGTGACTTGAGTGCATCAACAATGCACACACCTCTCTTGGTGGGCCACGCACATCTTCAACTGAAAATAGAAGATTACAAACAATAAGACAACAAAATAAACTTACCATCATCCAGTCATGTATTGCTTGCAGGCTTACTTCTATCTGTGTTGTTTCTTGGCTTCTATCACAGCCAAGATTGAGTACAAGTCACAGTCTGAAGTTTGATGAGTGAGTGGCTCAAATCAGTTATTTAATCCACTGGGTTTTTCTATACTCTATAGCATAAACTAATTCAGGGATATTAGCAACTTGTACCACGTACAATCTACTAGCACTTGTGACTTGGACCATGCGCTTTATATTCAACTGTAAATATAAGATCGCTAACAATCAGACAATAAAATAAACTTACTATCTTGCAATAAACCCTTTTCCTTTGACATATTTTGCTTAGGAGTTATTTCATTTAGCTGTCATCTTGTAGGGCAAATATTTCAGCAACCAATTTTAAACATGCATGCATGAAATATTTGGGTGGAAATATTTAAGTCTAATGAACATGGACATGAACATGGCTTTAACAAATGTACATGTATTATATTCATAAGAAAAATAGTGTTATCTTTACCTCAGTAACCAGTATAACAAATTGAACTCGGTTGAATAATGAAGGGATCTGGGAATATTGTCCTACAATGTGGCGACTAAGGGGAATAACTTGTAGTCAAAATAGGTCATAGAAAAAGGGTCTATTGGTGAATTGTGTGTACTGCAATTATGGGCAAAACTACGTAATTGAGTAGCTGGTACCTTTTTTGTTTTTGTTATGCTTGTAACGGGAAATATCTTTTTAAACTTGCACTTTGGACCATCTGAACATTTTGAAATGTCATTCTAGGCCTTGCAGTGATATATAAGCCCAAAAATATCATTGATTATTTCTCTTAATAAAAAATAAAAATTCAGCTAATAGTAGTATGTGTGTTATAAACGAAACAGAGATCATATAATCATTCTAGAGAGTATTGTAACGTGGTATGTTTTTCTTCTGCTTGAGGTGAAGAAGTCCGGGTAATTGTGCTTATTTCATGACAATGCATAAATAATGATATTTTGATTATTTCCATTTTTGTTTTGTGTTAAAATCATAAACGTGAGATGCAAACATTGACATAAAACACATTAAGATCCCCAAACCTGTTGTTCTTTTTTATATTTCTATTTTTTAACCTCTTCTTCTTTCCGTGCATCCATATCCATCGCGGCCTACAACTCGAGTGAAGTCATGGTAACAGTATCCGGGTTATTTCCACAAGTAACGTTCGGATCGGATACTGTGTAAAAAACCGGAATTTTAAGAGATATTTTAGGTCACGTCTCAAACATCAACTAAACGTCAAATATCAAAAAATAATCAATTACTAGGCCTAGTAAATATATACAAGCAACTGATAAATATTCAATACCTTGTAAAATGCTAGCAGGTTCAGAGGTTGATAGAGCAGCAGGAACTTATAGGCCAAGTTCAACATGTTGTTCAATGAACAAATAGTTTTGTCGAACCTGATACATAGTAAATTTGCATGTTTGCTTAAACTAATCTTCCTTTTTGTGCGTGAAAATTGTGTATGTCCGCCCAGCTTAGCTTTACTTCTCATGTATCATGCATAATCACTAGTGTAAGATTGACTTGTCCGGTGTGAGACAGCAGTGTGAGATTTTTCTGTCTTACACTGTGTATTACATGTTGTTTATATAAAGAAACTGTAACAATGTTATAACACATAATTAAACTTTGTCACATACTTATTTTCATGTATTGTCGTATTTTCACTTTTTTAATGGCACTATTTAGATCGCGGAATGATTCTGATACATAAGTTTTTTATCTTTCTGATTAATTTACACGGACTGAAAATTATTTTATCAGTTTACACTACTTATCTCTCCAGATTTTTAATTAGTGGAAAATTTTGTATGCCCCATCATGGCGACGTCAGCATAAAATAATGCGAGAAAAATAATCATTCATTACTCTCATGTATCCATGCATCTCTCTAAAGCCTGGGTGTTGTTGAATGATTCATAGCTCTCTAATGAATATTATAACAATGTTTATAAGGGTTTGTATTATGATTTCGGAAGATAAAATACATTTATAAATGAAGTTTGTCCCAACACTAAACATGTTTGTATGGACCAAACCTGTCTGGATGTTTTCTTCCTGGTGTATTTTGCTTTTTCTATCTCTGCTCCTTTACACCGTCCGCACACTTTCGCGCTCCGTAACTCTTTGTTGATAAAAGGATCTACTTCCTTGGTAACCAATTCTCATTCGGAAAAACTCTGTCATTTTCTAAAGCAAATGACTCAATATTTCCGAGTATTTCCGAATGCCTCCTTCATAGACGAGTTATGTCCCTTTGTTTGATTTTTTTTATTGATAGGCCTAAAGTACGCAAGTTGGACTCTTACATAGAATTTACTTCTGTGAAAAAGATCTTAGATAAATATCGTTGTATGAGCAGTAATTTGACGAGGATGTGCATAACCTATTGAATTTTTTGACAAGCAAAAACGTCAACGTTCCTGGATAAGCAAAATTTTACTTATTAGTGGGGACATCATTTTGCAAGAGATCATTTAAAAAGTAGATTCAACGAATCGATAAGTTTACAAAATAAAGGTTCCTGGGAATGTATATTCATGGGTAAAGATGACCCACAACATTCATGAACATTGGTCCTCCACAAACAACTTGATGCCTATCCCTCAGTAAGTATACTACTTATACTTAATGTAAAAATTTGATTAACTAGTTTGGCCGCACTTCATCTCCATTCATAATCTACATAAGGAAGGTTCCACATAAATTTCATCTGTTTTGGTTTTGAATCGGTGATTTTTTTTTTTAAAAGAGAAGCCTCCCGCTACAGTTTGATAATAACCCCCCCCCCCAAAAAAATCGGTTATATTGCAAAGCCCTGGGGACATGTGAATAAAAAACGAATTCGTTAAAGGGGAGTATTAAATACAAAATTTTACTTTGGGTACTAAATATTTCTGATAAATGGAATTTCATATCTAAATACTTATGAAAAATATATGTCAATTCAATATTCTGGAGTTTAAGATATTGAAAATTCGTTATAAAAGATGTAATTTTCGTTACTTTTAACCTCTACAGGACAGAAAATCAGTTCCCTATATCTGTACATTCGTTATATCAGTGTTCGTTAGAATCGTACTATATTTTCCTAGACTTTGTAAAGAATTTCGCCGGGGATTTAAAAAATCTCTGTGAATTCCTGATATCTGTATTCGTACTAAATGAGTTTTGCTATACACTACCTCAGGAAGCTTAAAATCAACCTAAGTTTCATATTTTCTGGCCCAGTGGCTCTAATATTTTTTTTTCTAATGACTCTACCCTAATTTTGTTTCTTATTGATTAAGGACGCTTTGTACTGAATTTGGTTTAAAATGGTCTAGAGGTTCTTGAGGGGAAAAAATGAAAATATAAATCTTTAGAGAATGGATGGAGAGTAGATGAACAGACATTGGCCATCTGGTGAACAAAAATCTCACTTGAGCTTTCAGTTGAGTTATAAATAGCCGAAGAACTGCAGCTCTCCGAAAAAATATAATTTTACATACCGGAGAGCTACAGTATCACCCACTAAAAAAAACTTGTATGAAGTTTATTGAGCAAAAAAAAGTGTGCTGTTTCTCAGTTCATTTCTCCATATACTTAAAACTGTCATCTCAAAATACCGGTATTACTAACCGTTTGTTCCTAGCATATTCTTTCACTGTTTCCTCAACAAAAAAATTCCTTATAATTGTTGTTAATAGCCCCCCAGTCCTGGCCCTGAAATTGAGATCATCGAAAATTTCGTCTATTTCTACCGCCATTTTGGTTTGCAAGATAATTTAGTCCACCGTGCCTCGTGGAGATTTTAACTACGAGAGTATTTGATTAAAAGAGTAGGGAATTATTTTTGAAACCTAGCTTTTTTGCAATTGAGGTAAAAAGAAAGAATTATAATCCAGAATCAAGCGCAAC